GGGCGGCCTGGTGTTTTTTCTTCCCTGCCGTTGCACCTCGGGGAAGCGCTTGGCCCAGCCGCGCTGCTCTGCTTTCCAGCCCCGGGCTTGCTGCCACTTTAGGGCCGTTGGTTCGGGCTCTTGGCGCTGTGGCCCCCCTGCCTTGGCCCTGCCGGTGGGTTTGCGGGGCCTCCCCGGAGAGGTGGTGCACCCCCAGATACACAGCCCGGGCTCTAGTGGTGGTTTCAGTGTGAAAACGGGGTACGGTAAAACGAAATCGGGGCTCTGGCCTGCCTTCCCAGGTGTGCAAGAAAGCCTAGCTTTAACACGTTATTTTGGGAGGTTTTCTGTTTGAATAAGTGGGAGTAAAACCCAGGTAAGTGAAGGTAGCGTCATAAGCCTCTCCACAAAGGAGTGGCCTAGCGGCTACGGTATATATGTCTGAGGTAGTCAAGCCTTACAGTAAATACATGGGAGGATTTCACTGTGAAAGGCATGACTGACTGAGTTTTTTCTGGCATAGGTTCAGCTTCCAAAAACTTAAGAGCACCAGTTTTAGAAGCAGAGTTGAGAAAGCAGGTTCTTCTGCTAATTGTTTTGTATAACCTTGCGTTTAATAGCTGTTTCATTGCTCTTTTTTTAAATTACAGAAAAAATGGATAATACCCTTTTGAAAGACTTTGAAATTGTTAGTTATGTTAAAAAAAATAGAAGTTAAAATATTGCCATCATTTCTGTTTATCTGCAAGTATACCTTAACTTTAGAGTCTAAAGGAGCCAGATTTTGTCACTGCTTACAGCTTGGCGTACGTTCTTTGAAGTAGGTTTGTTCCCTGACCAGCAAAAAAGCAACGTTCCCATCTCAAGTAGTACAGGGTATTAAAGCAAATCTACTGCTGCAAAGCTGCATGCCACAAATTGAAAGCTAAGGAAATAGCAGTTGAGGTTGTTGTGCCTTGAAGATGGAGCCTCTCAACTGTTACTTGGAGAAATCCCTAAAGAAGGCGATAATAGCTCTCAGTGATTTTTAACATGGGCAGGTTAGCTTTGTCTGTGTGGCGTGAAAGCATTTTGTTTAATTTAAAATCTTTCTATATGCAGTATTTGGGAAATGAAGTGAAATAGTTTGTGTAACAGATTGGCTGTTGTTATTCTCATGTTATTTAATCATGTTCACAAGCACTTCTGATTTTATTTCTTCATGCCCTGAGAATGCTTTAATTTTGCTAAATGAAAATCTCAATACTTTAAACAACGAGGCTTGCAAAAGGTGTAGAAATGATATGGAAGTTTCCAAGGCACCTGAAGACAACTTCCCGTATTTCAGAGATTCTTTCCTGGGGAGGGAAAGCGGAGTATGCAAGGAGTGGTTAAAATGAGAAGAAGCAGCACCGAATACAGGCAATGCAGGATATGCTTATACCAGGTAAAAAGGCGTAGGGCGAAATCCAATCTGAATTAGTCCTGGAGCTAGCTAGAGCCTGTGTAGGTACGTCAGTCTAGGGCATGCCCAAATGAGGTGTCTTTGTGCTTTGCGTGTAGATAACAGAGTGGAATAGTATGGGATGTGTTGCCCCAGAAGATACAGATGTGCTAGTTCCACTAATGTTGAACAGGACTGGTGCCTCTAAATTCCTTTAATGGCGCTTGAAAAATGACATTTTTTACTGGCTGGTATTTTGTCTGATTTTCTTAGTGTACTTGTTGATGATAATATACGCGAGTAAAACATTTGCTTGACCTTTAAGGTTGTGTTTGACATGCAGTTGCTTTTTTCTTGTTGTTGATTTTGTTCATCTATTTTAGATTAGCACATGAAATGAAATATATATGTCTTTCTGTGTGAGGAGGATAGGCGCTTAGAACAATTCCCAGTAAAACTTGAGGGATTCTGCCATAACCCAGTTTACATTATAGGCCAGAGTTATTCTCTTTTTTTCTGAATTTTGTTTTCCCTTAGGCATAGAATAATCTTAAGAATAGTATTTATCAAGTGTGCATGGGTGTATTAAATATACACAGTATGCATGTACTTCTAAATTAGATTTCTTTTTTGCCAACATCAGCTGGTTGCTTAGAAACCCAGTGTTGGATTGACCAGGTGTTTTAAAGCCAGCTGGCAATACAAAGCATGTAGCAGTGATAGAGCTCTGTCTGCCCTGCGGTATCACAGAGAAACAGCCGGTGCTAAGTGCCAGGATTTGATTAAGATTGAAACTCCATCTAGAAGTTTGTGGGTGGTTTGAAGACAGTATTTGTAATTACAATTTACAAGGTTATTTCTATGAGAAAACCTTGGAAAACATGTGTGGCAAGTTAGCTTGTAGGACTTTATTTGTTCTAGGAATTTGCAAAGTTACTTTGGTAAGAAAAAGTAATCTGGATCCAAATAGTTATGTGTTAATGAGTAAATAAAAACATCAATACTCATCTTACCAATTGGACTAACCAATATGATTTTGATGTATTATTTTATTGAATATATTTTAATGGCTTGGCAATGTTGGGCAGTTCAAAAAATGTCTCTAGTTGCGTTGCAAAACTGAAGATTAACGCAGGGAGTTTGAGTTCTTGCAGGGACCTCTCTGGAGCTTCGTTATGGTGGCCGCAGTGGTACAGTTGTCTGTAACGGGAATAGACCTCTCCACCAGCGTCAAACTGATTTCGTGGTGGAGTGATGCTATTCACTTCTGACTACCGTGAGAGAACGATCATAGAAGAGAGACCAGAGTTTAACATTTTCTTGATGTCAGGTATTTGAACTTGGTGGTAATCGCTCAAATTTGTGAACTGCTAATAATGAGTTATCGTGAAAAGTATCCCCTGAACCTCACCTCAGCTGTGCACAGTACACATTTTTCTTCATTTCTATGATTATTTGACTCCTAACAGCTTTTACTTTCTAGAAATAGATCAAGGAGCTTTACTGCCACGCCTGTGGAATTTTCCGAAACTGAAAATGCTGAAGTTAAAAGTCAGTATTGGACACCTTCCATAAAACAGAAACCTAATGTGTGCATTGAGAGGTGAGACTGTCTTTAGTTTAAGGATACGAGTGGAAGAGCCCTTGCAGATTTTAAGTCACCTGTTTTTTAAAAGATAGGTCCATATATGTTCATATCTTGGGTATTTCCATGTCAGATCTTCTCAGTTCAAAAGAAAAGATTTACTTTCCTGGCTTACCCTGCGGTCCTGTGTGGAACTGCTAAAGTTTTCAGGCATGGTTCTCCCTCTCCTCCTGCAGTAGAAGTTTTCCAAGTCATACAAGACCATCAGCAGCTCCTTTGCAAGTCATGAGCTATGTTGTTCCTTAAAAATCAAAATTGTTACTGTATTACTTCAAGAAAAGCCAATTTGGAATAAGGTTCCTGATGTTTCTTTTGATACTTATTGCTTTGTATAGGAAGGCTTAGAATGGTGGAGTGGGAGGAGGGGGAGGGATAAAGTGCTTGCTGCTCGTTTGCTGCAAGGTAAGTGTTCTCTCCCTATTTGACTGTGAAAGGGCACTTTCAAAATAGTCATGAATTGTGTTTTCTTCTTTTAATTGAAAATTTTTTACTTAAAGATTGCTTTACATGAAAGATTAATTTCCTTTTCTGGATAGAAGGAGGAATATTTGTAACTTTGGGTAACTTTCTGTACAAGTCATTTTTCTGTTTTCTCTTTTTAAGGCCAGTTCAATCCCTTATGCTGTTAGTTTTGTGTGAAAGACTTGAGCAGACAAGGGAAAGAAGAAAAAAATCCTCCTTTCTCTTACTTCCCTTGAAAAACAAAATAATAGTATGGTTATGAAAACTACTGTTGAGAATTCTAGATCAAGCATAATATTTTAGCCCATTTCCAAGTTTTCAAGCAGCTGGTTGCTCCTAAATTCTATCTGGAATAAATACACTAAGTGCTTTGGGCTTATACTGTTTGAATAATTTTTGGCATGGTTGCCTATCTGTTAGTGTAGCTGAGATCCTGAGTTTTAATATGAACCCTGGAGTGTTGCCAGTATTCTATATTTGAAAGGTATATGCTTTTGGAGTAAAGTATTACTATAAAGCAGCAAATATTGCAAATGACCCAGTTTTAAATGGAAGAGAGAGACTTGGCTGAGTCACTAATTTTCACAGAAGCTTCTATTTTCAATGGCAATTTTGATGTTAGCATACTACCATGCTCCATGGAGTATGAAATACTGAAAGAAGCCTCTGTGCAGTTACCAGATACTGTTCTAAGGGTAGGAAGTTTCTGTCTGTTAATATAATAAGTCATGCTGACTTAACTACAGGTTGTGCCGTGCACGGTGCACTTGAGCTGTGAAGAAAGAGTAGCGGTGGGATTTCACAGATGGCACCTGCAGACAGACAGACACACAGAAACATTCAGTTATTCTTAGGGTGTCACAGAACTCTTAATTTGAAGTTTGCATCTTTCTGCTGACATAAATGTAAACTGTGCCGTACCCCTGAGCACAAATGGATCGAGGATTTGATGAGGTATACCATGATCCCACTGTCAGACTATGACATTTCTGTGTTGATGCATCCTGATGCCACTGTTCTGGTAAATGCTAGTGGGTAGTGACCAAGTAATGAAATCATGATACAAGCAGCAAGAGACTGAAGTTGAATGAGGTAGTTTCACGTCAAACTGGATTAAAATTAACAAAGTTATAATGAAAACGCAAAATGATAGCTTTCACATAATGTTCTGGGCCACTTGAATAAGTTGTGGTGAATTGTTTTAAGAAAATGCTTTAGGTTGAAGAAACAACTTAGAATCGAAGCTCTACAAATTAATTCTTGAGGTTTGATTATGAACTACTAATCTCCGTCCGTTTTGTTGTAGTCTGGGGTTGAAATTCTTAGCCATTGTCGTTTCTGTAGTTTGCGGGTAAGTCTAACGACATTTTTCTGTCTGCCTATCTATCTGTGTCTCTTTCATTTATTTATTTATTTTTCTCCTCCCTAGAATGCCATCAGAAGTACTACTGAAGATATTTTCCTATTTGGATGCAGTATCCCTATTGTGTGCTGGTTGTGTGAATAAGCGGTTCTATGATCTGGCCAATGACAAGTAAGGAAAAGGAAAGCGTAAGTGTTAGTCTTAACCTCACAGCAGTTGAGCTTGCTCAAGTTACGAGCCTTTCTAATTTAGTTTCATTGATGTCAGGGCATTGATGCAAGTAGCAACAGGCAATTACTCTATCGAAAATGCATAGCTCGCGGTACAATGTGTCGCATGGGGTTCTAGCTGTGCAAACCCCATTAAAGTTGATGGGAAGTACGCAGTGAAAACTAAATACACTGCCTTGAAATGTTGCTATTAGCATTGACTTTGATATAAAATTTGCATATATTTCTGTTTGTACTTCATGTGCACCAGCACAGCCTACTTGCTTCAAGCAAGCTTTAGTGGCCGGTGTGGTTACTAGCTTTGTAGGATTATCATAGCTCTTGTAACTCTTGAAATCCTACTTCTTTAGCTCTTTTCAGATTTTTTTTTTTTTTTTTTGCAGGGGATTTGATTTGGTCAAGTGATTCACTGATGAGTTTTAGCTCTTTTACCTCTTCTTGTCAAATTATGATAACTTTTAAATGAAAGCAGAAAGGACAAAGAAAAATATTGATGCCCGTTTTGTAAGTGGTTGTATGTACAGGGCTCACAAAAAGCTCCCACCAGTATCGTGATAACTTTGTGAAATGATCAAGAGGAGAGTACCTGGCTTGTATGAGGTTACTAGAATCTCTGGGCATTGCTGCTTTTCAGGTTCCTGTTGCGTTGGTATTTAAATGAGAAAATCTTTTCCTCTATGGTTGCTGTGTCTGCCGTTTTTCACTTGTCTGCCAAAATCTGAGCAGTAAACTAGTTAGTATTCATATTGACACCTTTGGAACTGATGAATTTAAAAGGAAGGCCAGAGTCCAGATTTATTTTTTGGTCCGTCAGCAGGTGCATGTAGATAAAATTGCATCATTGATGCAGATTATTTATCTTAATACGCTTTCTCCGGTTTAGGATAGCAAGGTAGGCTAAAAAGATTGTAGCTGTTCAAGGGAAAGTGATTCGTATGTATCCATCTCAGCCATGTCCATTTCCATTTTCTAGTCTGGAGAGAGATTACTGTATGTGCACAAATGTGTTCTGAAGAAGAGATGCCTTAACATGAGACTTAGTGATTCAGTGGAGTAGGCTGCTTCTTTGCTCGGGATCTTCTGGACCTCCTTGAGTCCCTGCATGTTTTGTTGAATCAACAGAAGTCTTGAAATTTAAGTCCCTGGATATGTCTGTGACAGATCTGGTCTTGTTTTTAGGCAGAGAGTATCTTCTTGAGGATAATGCTGCTGTCCTGTATGTAGTTATTGTCAGCAGGATCAATGGCTCTTGATGCAACAGGACTGACAGGCTTTTAGTGCGTATTTTTGTGACCCCTAATGCTATGCTTTGTCTTTGGGCTTTTGAAATATGTCTGCCCTTTAACTGTTCCTTGGAACTGATGTTTTCAATATAACTGCTGAGGACAGGGAAATGTTTTTGACGTTCTTTCTGCCTCCGCACCGCCTCCACCCCTGCACCAGCATGGAATATTATTCCAGCCTTCCTGTCTTGCAGTATGGGAAGCTCACATAGATGATCTGAAAGCACAAGGGTTTTACTCACAGCAGAAAGTGCTTGTATAACAGGAGAACTGAGAAGCTAGAGCACAGGGGAAGGTCTTTCAGCTTTGCCCACATCTTTTTGCTATTGTAATCAGGTGATGAATGACAGTGGCAATACCTTGAGTGTCGTGATTGCATATCAGAGGCTCAGGCTGCAAATAACTCCATCTGATTCTGGCCCTTGTTTCATTGTTACAAAGTCCACTAAGAAGCCTTGAGATGAGTCTTAAACTTAGCTCTGTGAAGCAAAAGTGGCAAGTACTCTACTGTGAGAGAGAGAAATCCATGCTTCCCTGTTGGATGCCTTTTTGATCTGCCTATCCTGAATTCTGATTGAACCTTTTTCTGTAAATATATTTATCAACCTCACTGGCATATTGTAGAAATTAATTGAAGTACTTCCCTTTTTTTGCCATAGTAGAGCCGAAAGTCATAAGTGGATCTCATTCAGTACGTGTACTCCAGAAGAAGAAATGGGAGTCCATATTCTTTGAGATTACCTAGTATACAGTATCCCCTGAGAAATGGTGACATCTGGCATGTCTTGGTTCCTGAGCCTTCATGTTTGCTGCAAGGAACTGAACCGATTAGAGCTTTCTGAAGATTGGAATGGGCAAACTGTACAAGCTGTGCCTTTGTGTTTTCTTGACTAGTGCCTAGCAGGGCATTCTGGCCCTCTATAAACTTAGACTTAGATCAAACCCCATTTGCTGATAAACTTGGACTTTATTTTTCTGCTAACGTAATGTTCAGTGGTACCCAAGGTCCGCATGTCAAGTATACTTTTTATTGTACTGCTGAAGTAGTTTAATGCTTTTGTCTATGCTTTTAATTAAGTAACGCTTCTTGATATTTATATGGTTTTCCTCTTTATTCTAATAATTTTCAGTGGAATCTGGCTGAAAATATATTCCAGTCGTTTTCCGCCAAAAAGAACAATTTGGAAAATTAATTCTGTCGAGACAGAAACTGTTTCCTTGGGCTGTGCTGCTGTGCAGGATAGAAAGCCTGGATACTGGAAGAAAGAATACATCTCCAAACAAATAGCTGCTGTCAAAACTAGAGTAATGCAACTTCTTAAACCTGTAGATCCTCATACAGGTCTTCCATGTAAAAACAGAGAAGCTATAAGGTAAGCGATGCCTTGTCACAGAAGATGCTTACTTGAGAAATAAGTACAGAATGTTAATGGCTTTAGAAAAGCTGGCGGGGGGGGAATAGAGGAATAATAGCATATTGTAATGGGAAGATCTGAATATAACCTGTAAGTGATCTAGTCCAAGAAATTTAAGTAATAGTTTATAGGAATTTAACTTTTTAATTATTTATTTATTTTAAACTCCTCACCTCTGGTCAATTCCTAAATAACAGAGCATCTGGCTTGAGTTGGGTTATTATTCTAAAGGACAGAAATGGAAAGGAACACATAATGGAGCAGGCAGATCTATCATTTAAGGATGCGTCTGTTACTATATCCTGGTATAGTACGAGTTGGCCGTGCTTAAACGTCCTGTCAACCCTAGAACTATGTGGAGTGACACCACTGCTTCCTGACCAAAGCAGAGCTGCCGGCAACAGCGGGTGAGTCTTAGCATAGGATTTTGGAGGGATTTTTTCATGTTACTCATTGATAATGTCTCTGCAGGAGCTATCTGATTTTAATTTGACTTAACAAGTCAATTGTTTCTTAGAAAGCCTCTCTAATATTTCTTCCAAAGCCTATGTCCTGTTCTTCACTGATAGAACTTTTCAACAAGAAACAGATATAATCCATCCAGCTACGACGTTAATTCATATGTTACTGTAGGTACTGGCATACAAGAGTCAAACTAACAGACAGGTTTTGCCTTGGAAAGCTAAATCTAAAGCACAGACACCAACTAGAATGAATGAAAAATGCAAATCTGAGGGAATTTAACGTGAGAGACTTGGATTAGAACTGTTCGTCAGTGTTTACTTGAATGTAATAATCTAGGATATAACTTAATAGATTGTTAGTAACATCTACTTTCTTAGTCGGATAGGTGTGTATATGGACTTAGAGAACTTGGTCTTTAGTTGTGTGCGTACATATGAATACGAGCATATAGCTGTAAGTAAGTGTATAGCTGACGTATGTATGTATTTGGTTGTTGTCTGTGTTCTGTGTCCGCTATCAGCATGCGGTATGAGCCACACGCTTCGTACACAGTGCACCTCAAAGAACTGGTAGTATACCTGTGAAAAGACAGTTTTGTTTTCACCTAAAGAAAACAGGGTTCCTCATAGAGAAAGAAAATCTTTGCGTAAGAATGAGAAAGACAAGCTTACTGTGTAAAGTCAGCTAAGCAGCCCAGGCTAGAAGACTTTTAATCTAATTATGCAGAAGGTTTGTTTCCACAAAAAGTTTGTTTCCACGAAGATGATGATTCATATGTAGAATGTAGTAAAAGTTTCAGGCAGTTAGTGTATTTATTTAACATAATCATGAGATGTTAGAGATTGTGAGCATGCATAAGGATAACGATTTCACAAACGTTATCAGAATGTTAAAAGCAAGATTATAATGCTTCAGAATTTCAAGAAGGAAATATTCATTAGAAGTTAATTAAGTTGAAGGATATTCTTTTGACCTCTTGATATGTCCTGTAGAAAAGCTGTAATTCTTTTCCTTAGTGTCCCTGGTTTTAAAATAAAAACCCAACCAACCACTAAAAAAGCCCTGATCAGAAAAGAATTTACTGTGCTATTATATTAGTGTGGCCTATTGGTAGCACAAAGTTGTTGCTGATGGTGATTTTTTAGGTCTTTGTGACATTAGGCTATTAGGCAGAAATGCTGTATAGAAAGTCATCTAATTGATGTACTGAGAGAAAAGCTCTTCTATGGCTGACACTGTTAAGTGTTTAAAGCTTCTGAGGAGAGCTGCCCAACTGCAGCACGCACAGTGCACAGTGAGCGGGCTACTGACTGCTTGGTGGAGAAACCACTAAATTTGGTCTAGAGTCTGAACTCTTTGCTCAGGCCTTAAGGCATAGGATTCATTTCAGAATGCAGCTGGCTACCAAACAATCTGAGAACTGAAGTTCAGCGAAGGTAAAGCTTCTAGACTGGGAGGGAATTACATATGCTATTTTTGATTTCGCCAGCATCTGCTGTCTTCTTTTAGTGGACTCAATAAGCTTGGAGAGTTTGTCAGACGATGACGTTCCATGCAAGTCAGGACTTTGATCCCTTCGTTGTGAGGAAAAGCTAAGAGCAAGAGCTAGTGCAGAGACTTTGGAAAAGTCCCTATGTTTATACCAGCCTAACTGACTTGAAGATGGAAAGGACTAGTGCCACTTCCCTGCCCCAAATCATACCGCTTTCCAGATAGTGTTAGGAAGTCTGTCAACTGCTGTTTTACCAGCACTACATAGTGGTAGATGATAATGAGATAATGTTGGGATAGTGCTGTGATAATGTTGGAAAACCTAGGAACAGTTTTGAATATAATGGCCAAAACGCGTGCAGTGTTTTAGGAAGAGGTGGTTCTCCATTCTGAATAGATAATGCGGGCCGCAGACTGCTGGGTTTTTATGCCTCCTTAGCCAATAGGAATGCCTGTAAAATATGAATTTGAATAAAAAGGTGTTTATGGAGCTAAAACACTTGAATTACAGGGCAAAAATCTAGAAATAATTTCCCCAAAAAGGAAAGTTTCCTCTAATAGAAGCCTATTAATTAGCTATACTCACAGTTTGATCCTTTCCGTGAAATTTCATTTCTGTGGGGGAAGAATTTACCTTTTAAGTAGCCTGCTTTGTGCTGATAAATGACAATTCCACGTGGTACCAACACACTATTATAAATAAATGTTTGTTACTACACTAATTCTGTCGATATCTTAAAAAATTGGGCAAGCATATCAATTTATCCTCTTTTTTGCAGTAGTCTATTAGGCTATCCTATAGTGGTTTTTGTTCCTCTTCCTGTTAGGCGTCGAGATGCTGCTAGTGTTTCCATTTGTCCAGAAGTAAAATCTATGGCTGTACTACATGCTGAATACTTTCAAAATAGTTTTATGTCCGTACCGCTGTTCAAACTGCAGAATTAAAAATGAAATTTGGATGAACTTTTACATAAATAAGGAGCCGCAGTCCTGTTTTTATATTCTGTATGTTCTTTTCAAAGACCTCGTCGACGTTCCCTAATTGCTGAATACAGCCTTTCTAACGTGACTGAAACCAGTGTAGCAATTGGTGCTGATAAGCTTGTCCAACTCTTTGGTCTAAATCCAGGACTCTTGCTAGGACTTTGGAAGGTAAGATGACATTTTGTTTCAATACTTATTATGACTGACTTGAAAAACTGATTTCTTGGCTTTGTACTTTTTTTTTTTTAATATCTTCCTTTTCCTTTGGATTTTAAAAGCTCTTGTCTAAACTCTAAGGCAAGAAAATACCGGTCGGGAAAGCTATTTGGTTTACTGTATTCTAAAAAGCTGTAGTTGGAGTGTCCTTACTTTCCAGACAAAAAAATCTAATTAGAAGGTCAGTTGTGTATCATAATGCAGTAGATACTGTACTGATCTTGCTTCTGTATTTGGTTGTATTTATTTTGGAGTCTTCACGTATCAAAATTTGATATTCCAAAAATGTTTTAAATAGCTCAGTTTGAGCAGAGATGTGCTCCTCATCCTCTTCCCGTCCACAGCACTAAGTGATAAGTTCCCAGAAGTCAACTTTGCTAGTTGTTTCCTTTAGTCTACATCACCATGTACTCTCTCCTGCTGGTAGGAACGTTGTAACTGGTGCCCTCCTGGGGATATTTGGTTGTTGCTATTAGGTGGTTAACTGACGTGCCAAAGATAAAGGATTAGTTTCTCTAAGCTATGTATAGAGATGGACAGCTTCAGAGAACAGTGCAGAACATCTGAAGTAGACTTTGCTCCAAAGAAATCTGTCTTTGCACTGAAGCCACTGCGGCCTAGGAGTCTGCCTAAAGTAGCATAGTTAGGTACTGTGAAAGCCTGGCCTAGAGCCCTTTGCAGTCTGTCTCGAGGGTTCTGCTCTTGAATTGAATTCGGGGGTGGCAGCCCTTCCTTGCTCCCCCAGCAATGCTAATGTGGTAGACTTAATCATGTTACTTGGCATGGGCAAGGAACTTCCCTCCCCTCAGGAAGTCTGTGAGCAGTTGCTGGCAGCTCTTTCTTCTTTTCAGCTGAAAACACTTGTTACCTCAAATGTGCACAATGACCAGAGGAATTGTTTAAAAACACAGGAGGAATATATCCTTGAATCTTGCTTAAAGATGTCCATTACTTGGAAATCTTGGAACTGGTTGACCTGCGCAAGCCTGTTATGGATGTCTAAGTGTAGATAAATCATGAAAAGCTCTAACAACTGAGCAGTCCCTTTCTTCGTATCTTCAGAAATTTAGTAGATTGATGTTCTTGTGGTGTTGTCCCCTTGGTCTTGTTAGCAGTGTTAATTCTTCCTGTGCTTGGAAATAGTAACTCTTTCAGCACCTGGAAATAGTAACTCTTGCAGCACCTGGAAAGCATACTGTTGAGTATCTCATTCTAGGATATTTTTCCTGCTTTCTTTTTTGAACGGCTGTTTTGTTCTCTGTGTGGGTAGACATTTAGACATTAACTGTAACATTAGACAGTTAACTGTAGATGGGTATAATAATCATAAACGCCACACGTCTTGTTCTTTACACGTCTTAGCTGCCTAAACAGAAGATGTTGATGCTAGTAGTCTTGAAAAGCAAGGATGGGTTATGTAGGCTTTCTAGTATTTGAATGGAGAAAGACAGAGACACTCTGTATGACTGATAAATCCATGGATTTATCATGTATCTATGCCATTATATCTCTTTCAGTTGCAACTTTGTGCTCTAAAAGTAGTGGAATAGCCAAGATGGGGGGAGGATGTCATTTTTTTATTGCATAACCCTGTGAGATGGAAAAGGTAGTTTCCCACTTTACAGGACTCTAATAGATTGCTGACAGTGAATAGTTTCCATATTGACTTATGTGTTGGGAAATATAGGACGTAGAAATGCCTTTTTCTTTTAAAAAGAAAGAGCTGGAATCCAAGCATTTTGTGATCATGAAGTAAGTAGATATATTTGGCTTTGTTTAGTTCTGGTATTGATCTCTAAAGTTTTCTTTGAGCTATACAGGCCTATAGGAGGTCTCTCTTATCCCTTTGTCAAGAGTACGTTATCTGGTGAAGACAGCTAGGTTCTTAACTTCACTACTCTTTCTTTTAGTGACTAGCTCTATATTCCTCACCGATATTAGCTCTCTTTGTAAACAGTTCATTATATATCTAAATAAGCTTGATGTTTAGTTATTTAGCAGCTGAGAGTAAGATCCACTTAATTCTTCTTAGTTACCCTGTTTCAAGTGGTAACTAGAACTAGAAAAGTAAGATTCATGAATTGTTGCTGATAATTTTTTGTGTGGTATAGCTAGTTTCCCTTTCGTATGGAAAGACTGTGGTCTTTTATATACATTCAATACTCTGGTGAAAGGATAGTAGCAGTTACAAGAGTATTTGTCCATCTGTTAAAACAAGCCTTTATTAACATTATTGTAATATGTGTTGGAGTACTAAGCAGCAACATTTATCTGTAAATTGTAATGCTCGGAAGACTATGTGAAAAAACCTAAATATTCCAGACGAAAATGCATCTGCTTTAACTTTTCAGGAAACAAATGAAATTGCTTTTGTTATGGTGAGTCTTCATTATCATCAACTTCTTGAGAGAAGCACTTTGGGTTCCGCTACTGTGTAAGTTTTGGTTTTTTTTTTTTTTTTGTGGGAGATGAAGCTAATCTCTTGAGTAAAGCTTCGAGTTTGAGTTGAAATTGATCGCTGGTAAGCGGTTAAAATGTAGGCAACAATTAACCTTTCCCCTTCCATCTGAGTAAGAATTAGGATAACTATGTACTAAGCTGTAGAAGAAGTATTTTCATAATAAAATGTTGCCATTCTTGTGCTATTAAAGAGATAATTTAATCACACAAGTTTTACAAGTGCTTGCTGTACGGAGAGAGACAGAAATGTACTGCCCTTCCTTCAAGTGTTTTCTTCCTTCCTTTTCACAACGAGTCCTTTTATTCCCTCCTATCTGAAAGAGCTGAAGACGAGAAAGGTGTTTTGGTAAATAGGAAAATAATTTTTAGTAGTGTGACAGGGGAGAAAAAAATTCTAGTAAACTAATATGGTGCCTGTTTTGTCTTTCAGTCCTGTTGAAAAGCTGACTGTATTTCCTACCAAGCATTTGTCATCTTTTGTATAATATAATACCTATTTTTCCTTACATACAGTAAACTGTTTGAAAATAGGTTTTGTTTTGTTTTATTTTTTAGCTCTAGAGGATGATTTCTGGGATTTATTTTCCCCTCTCTCCCCTGCCCTGCACATACACTTTCTGATCAGGCGCTGTGGTATGTGCCTATAGTCTTTTATGTGCCTGCTGTCACTCGGTATGGCCCTTTTCACACAGAAGATAAAAGTTAATACCATCTCACTTAACAGCAAATAGGATCCTCTGCAGGGGTTGCCCAATAGCCTCTGGAATTTGGGCTCCTCTGCTCGTTTGTGTGCAATAGTTTCTCTGATAGGTTAGGCACAGGCAAAAACATTCAATAATTGCTATTCCAGAGAAGCCTGTGACCAGTTGGCTTTTAGATTTGTAGTTAAGCTGATGTGTGTTGTGTGTTTTTTTTGTTTTGTTTTTTTAATTAATGTAAACCAATCCATATTTTGGAGTTTTACAGATGTACAAGTTGATTGTCATTTTTTTTCTGATTTTGGCTAGGCTAAACAACTTATTTGTGAACTATAAAAGGTAGTAAAACAAACTAGAGATGTTTGACTTTCAAAAACATTGGTAAAGAATAAAAGCAGTATGTTCTAATGATTTTCACCATCTTGTAGCCTCTCTTAAAATGATCCTTTCGGTGTTGGCTGTTTACCATATGTCTATTAAGTTGTTTTCCTTTTCTTAATTCTATAATTTTTTTAAAGACAATATGTCCTTTCACCTAATAAACCTGTACTGGATGATGTTGACCCAGAATATGGGCTGCATGACTACAATCTACATCTTGATATACACAGTGGAAGCCATACTTGCATGTGTGGAACATTCAAGAGCCTCTTCTGCAGAAAAGGTAGGGTTAACAGAACTGTAATGTCTGTTCTTAAAATGATCCCTGCTGTTATCTGTTTTCTCTTTTATATCCAGTGTCCCTCTTTTAAGGGGAAAAACTGATTTTTTTTTTTTTTAAGAGTAAGCTATGTTTTTGTTTTTTGCATTATTCAGTTAATATCTGCATGCTATATCATGAGGTATCATATGCTTACTCTGTACAAAGTCTGTCAAAACCATTTGTTATTACATTAATGTAGTATCAAGCCTGAGCTATAAGTTATGCAGTCAGTCATTTGGTGCAGTGCTGAGTTAATAACACAGTGGTACAGCTCTTTGGGCAGGTTGGTGTCCTCCCATTCACAGCACTGTAAGGGACAGTGAGTCTGTCCTTGTCCTTTCTGGGCACCTGTTTTTGTGGAATTCTTCCGAAATATACTTTGTGTATATTGATAGTCTGAATATTTAAATATGTTTATAGAAAATGCTTTGAACTTCAAGATTTATAGATTGTATTTAGGTTAACTTATGATCATCTATTCTGACACTTTTATTGTGTATTAAACAAATTCAGTGATTGTTTTTAGCGGTATTGCCTTTTTTTCTCTCTCCTCCAGTTCTTGGCGTTTCTTTTAATAAGACATGATTAGTTATCCTGATTGTTCGTGTATAACCCAACTTAATTCTCTTAGGATTTGGTAGAAAAACTTGGATGCTTTTCTTTTGACTTAAGTTCAAACTACACAGCCCTCTTTCTGTCAGCAAAGAGTCCCAGGATATGAGTGGTGGTCTGAGAACAGGAGTTCTTCTGCTGGAGTAGCTGTTGTAATCCTGAATAAGCTTAAGCAATAAAGAGCTTTTCTGCTGGCATCCTACATTGACAACAGCAGTTTTGCCAGCATGGTACTATGAACAAGGTGGCAGGGTTGGTTTGTATATATATTTTTTTCATCCTGTGTTTTATGCTGATACAACTATGCCAGTAACTTGACAGGAGCTGACTAGGGATGCCGGTTAATAAAGTCTTGATGCGTACGTGTTTGTGGGTAAATACAGCAACTTTTAAAAGCTGAGCTTTAACAACATAATACACCCACTGAAGAATTTAATGCCCCGAGATGACTAAAATTACAATAACAATGAAACTCTTTAGAAAACGTAAATCTTACTGGTTTATTGTTTAAAATTGTCAATTTCCATGAATACTTTTTAAAATAGTAAGCCCTCCAAATCTCGTCTTTTCCCCAGTACAGAAGGTGTTGAATGTAATTATACAGAACACAGAAAATAGTTACTTATTCAAGTTTTAAAAATCATTTGTTACAAATCTTAAAATTAAGCATCGTAAATCATTATTGCTTCCCATTATTTTTCTAATAAGAGTACTAATGAGCGATCTGTTCATTTTAGAAAATACTGTTTCTGAAGACAGTAGAGGGCACTGTTATCAGGCTTGAATGTTGCAGTGTGTTTAGAACAAATTTCTCTATAGCTTGGGAGTTGTTTTTTTTTTTCTTTTTTTAAATGTCTATACTTAACTCCAAAAACGTTATTTAGACTGTAGGCTTGTTCTCAATGTGGAGCGTTGTAGTCCCATGAACTTGAAACACATACGTTTTCGGGATCTCAAAAAGCTCTAAGGTTGAAATAGAGGAACACTCACAAGGATAAAATTTCAATGAAATTCTGCTGCTGTAGCCATAGAGACCTCTCCTGAGGTGTTAGTCAATACAGGAGTTCTCTTTATACACTCAAACTCATTTTTTTTGTGAATTACTAGAGGTTAATGTTCTTGTTTTGGCATTTTTGAGGGGGTGAATTTTATGGTTGATTTTCTGAAATGAAAATTTTGTGCTTCTAGTAATATGTCTGCACGAGAGAAAGCAATATGTGGCACGTTTATCTTTGCTGGTATGACTTTTTTGCCACTGAAAAGCTATTTCTGTTAAAGATGAAGCTAGTCTTCAGGCAGATTGTTAAAGCAAATGTCCAGCAGGTAAAGTTGTGAAGCCGTCTCACTTTGAATGACAGTTAGAGAATCTGTTTTGTGATCACAAGCGTCTGCTGAACTGTCTTGGTTTTGTGCACTGTAACTGTGTTGCCACACCTAGATTCTCCTTCACAGGACATCAGCTGACTGGACCATGGCTTCTGCGGGCAGTCAGCTTATTCGTCGTCTCTTCTCTTCCGTATCCTTACGTTTTGGGATCCTGAGCATCCCTTTTGGAAAATGCTTGTTTTCCTCCTTGATTTCTGCTGAAAAGTGATGTAGTGAGGCACTTGATGGCAGTCTTCTGTCACATAGCTTGGCAGTAAGTTGTTGTTAGTTCTGCATTTTGGGTCACTCAGTTTGCTCTCTTGCGGATGTGGTGTTTCTGTATGTGCCAACAGGGAGGATTTGCCCAGTCTGGTTGTATTTGCTGGTTTATGCTTTATTTTTAGCCTCCGTTCTAACAGAGTTCCTTGTCTCGCTCTGCAGGAGGGCTCTGAGCATGGAGATTTCCAACATAGTGAGAAGCCTTGTTATTTTTTAAAACTCTATCCAATCCAGATTTGTTTTAAACTATGAATGTGACCTGCCACTGGCAGGTTTCAGAAACCACCTGTTTCACAGATCAGTTGTCAGCTATCGCACTGGGTTTTTTATTTACATTTAAAAACTGTAGACGCTCCTCGGTCACTAGGGGATTGCCATATGTTACTCTGCAGGAAAAAAATAAATGCAAACATCTCAGTTACTTTTTGTTGTTTTTTTTCATTAGTCTTCATGAACGCTGTGCTTCACTCTTACTGCTCTGTTTTCATTTCTTTCTGCAAAATCCATAACATTAAATTAGAAAAAAGCTATATCACACTTCATTGAACCAAGTAGAGAGATTATCTATGACTTCAGACCTTTTCTTCATTATTGATACTTGCACTGCTGTAGCTAGCTGTTTTGCCACCCTATTTTGGCTTTTTTTTTTTTTAACTTTTTTTTTAAGCTTCCTTCCATTTAAACAGGATTGGTAAAGTGGTCTTGTTTGCAGATAATGTAGGGTGAATATGTTAAATATTTTCAAGTTGAATATATTTATTGGAGAATTTTTCTTATTTTCAGGAAGCTTTGACAGGCTTTTCGTACAACTCCCACAAAAGTAATGAATACTGCGTCTAGCTTTTTAATATACATTCTTGAAATGTGTTTATCTAGTTTTTCAACTTTTTCAACATAGCTTTGTAGTCATATAGTAGTCTAAGCTTTTCAGTGTTATTTCTGGTTGGTATAAATTGATACGTTTATGCTTGCAAAACGTAGCAGGGTGATTGTTGTGTATTTTCAAAATATCACGTGTACTTGGAATGTTTTTGTTTGACTTTGAAGATTGGTTTGTAAATTTAAATGTCCATTTCACCATAGAAAGGTTGGTGGTTACCAACCAGAATTAGTGTTAACTACAGCGTTCCCTGTGAAAATAACAAATTATAACCTAAAAGAATTCCTTGATTAGCAGATCAGGGTTATAGCATAAATAAGTACCTTTGAGCTATTGGACTGTTTGTTTCTTTCCCCTGAGGTTTGACTATGTGATCCTCTTTAGTGGTAGTCCCTTCATTTGGAAACACCTGTTTCAGCTGTACTGATTAAAGGGCTGCTTTGCTGCTCTGCCTGACTTGCAGAGGCTCTGAACTGTGAATATCGTAATGGGGCTAATGAAGCAAATTCTAGATCAGGCTGAAGAGCACCCTGACTGGTTTGCTCTCTCCATATTTCCCTTGATATTTTTAATAGAGCTCACTCTGCCCTTTAATTTCCAATTCCTGTCAGACTGAGATGAGGAGGCGAGATCCCAGTACTTACCTACGCAGCACTTTGACTTGTTACTAACTTCTAGACATACCTTTCCTTTCTTCTGGATATGAGGACTGGGATGGAGCTTTTATATTTAAAAAAGTTATATAGATCAAATTGATTAATGGATGAATAATTAGCCTTCAGGTTCCTGTTATGTGTCACCTCTTTCCATTCTGATTTGAAGTTGACAAGTAACTGCAAAAGGGATTTTGTAACTTACGCCTTAGCCAGGCAGCCCATTTAGCTATGTGGCAGTTGATCTTATTAACATTTTGCAATAATGGTGATGTCTTGGGTTTCTTTAATTTATTAGCAGTGTTTTCTTTTGATTCCCCCCCCCCGCCTTAGTTCTCCTCTCCCCCTTTTAATTCAGTTAAAATTTTCATTAATTTTGAGTGAATGAGAAGAATAGCTGTTTCTATGCAAATATGAATTGCAGGTAACTGAATAGCCGTTTGGAAAAAAAAAATGCTTGGTGACTGTTATTTAACGTTTCCATGTAACGATGAGCTTTTACACATGAAGCTCTTAATGTTCATTTAGTAAAGCTTGACTTTATCTAAAATCTATTATGTTGAATGAAATTTTGTCATTGGGTTTGATTTACGGAGATTTAGGACTTAACCATTGGGTAAGTATCACACGTACCTAATACCATTATTTCTTGTACTTTGAGCTGGATTCTGGATGTGAATTCTGCCTGTGTTTTCCTCCTTGAGTTCTCTGGGGCATCACTGCAAAGATACTGGATATCACTCTCTAGAGTGATACATTTTCCTTCAACCATACAAAATATTCCCTGGGCACAGTTGAGTCTCTTCCACCATATTCATACTCCTGTTCCAACACTGTACTGACCCCCCCCACTTTTTCTATCCCTCTCGCTTCACACAGCGAGTGCTCTTTGGACCCGCACTCGTGAGTGATGCTTTCCTGGTGTAGGTGTGTGTGCAGGCCTCTCATGGGTGCCCCTTGGTCCTGCGGCACCCATTCAGAGAACCTTCTGGCTTCCGTGGCAGGCTTTAGGCTAGATCTTTCTCTGGCGCTTTGCCTCTGTCTGGCTGCTTTCAGCAGCCACTGAGCAAAGCTTTCCGCTGCTCCTGCATGCAGTCTTTAGCTTTTTAGCACTAAGATGACAAGCCAGCCCTTCTGCTCTTGCTCTACCTTCAGTCTCTTGCTGCTGAAGATTGAAGGAGAACCAGAGGCAAATTATTTCTCTTACTTGCTTTTACGTCTTAAATCACCTCACTCTACAAGCTCCTTAAATTATCATTCAGGGCCTACTACTAGATCTTAGCAAACTGTATTTTTGTGAGGAATTCCTTCTGTCCTTTCCTGCCTGCCTCCTGCAAGCTACTAGATACTTAGTTCCGGTCTTCTTTCTCTTCCGGGTCTCTAGTGCCTCCTTTCCGCCTTTAAAGCGAGTTAGTATCTTTTGTCAAGGAATTTGTTTATGGAATGCCCTTTTAAGAAACCTGCCCGTGTCATGATACGGTGGGATGTTTTTGTTGTCAGAGATCTCGTTTATTATGACGGAGCCCAAATTATAATTGTACCTTTGAATTGCTTGTTTAACTTTCTTCATCAAGTAGGAGAAGAAAAAAATAGCAATTAAAAAAATCAGTCTCCTTTAGGAGTAGAGAAGGACATGCCAAACAAAGAAGGTTGTTTAGTAAAAAAGTAACAAAGAAGTTCTAATAATTCTGTCCAAAAATGAAAGTGAGCCTTTGGGAAGCTTTAAAAAAAATGAGCAAATCTGTAATTTAAAACCTTGATTCAAATCAAGCTGACTTCTTATCAATTTAAATGAATCAATAGCCTTTCTAGGGAGAACTGATTGTTTAGCGTGTGGGATTATTTGACTTATCAAATAGAGCAGAAAGATTATCAAAAAAAAAAAGGGGGGGGGTGAGGGATCCTTCCTTTTCTTTCACGTGTTTTGTGTTGAGCTTGACTTTTGTGACTGCTGGAGCCATGGGTTGCATGGGATTGAAATATTAAACATGGAACCTATTCCTTTCATCCTTGTGTAAGTCCTCTTGGTGGGCTCCAGATTTTGGTACTCCAATATAACAAATTTTTTAGCTGCTGCTTCTACTGTGGATCACAAAATCAAAGCCTTGAACTGTGACTCAGATTCTCCATAACGTTCTGGATACGTAGCTGTTGGTGTATGTCAGAGGTCCTTGTTGGTGAGAGTGAGGCAAGTGAAGATGGGGAGGGATGCAGACAGAACGTAGAACGTTCAGTGTGTATTGACTTTGTTTGATGTGTTGTGGTGTAATGCTATATATTGTTGATATTTTCAGTTGACATTCAGAATGGATATTTGAGGCTAACGGTTGTAAACATAAAAGATAATGCGAAACACTTGCCTATTATTGGAACAGTTGGCTTATCCTGGAAAACAGATGTGTTTAAAGGCAATGTAAAGGTCAGTCAGCAATATTTTTTTGTTGTTTCTTGAAATGCTTATCTCAAAATAGAATGATGTTTATGCATCCTAACTAAGCAAATTTTTTAAGTGTTTTTCTTTGTGAAGGTATATGTACTAGAAAAATCTCTTAACATTCAAATATTGTTAAAACAATGTGAATTTCTAGACAAGTCATGTCTGTCCTTTCTGTCTTGGAGGATAGATTGCATGATAGTCCTGCTATGCATGCATGATGACTGCAGTGCTTTCTACTCATCAGAGATGCTGTGAGTGACCAGCACTCGTTGGAAGTGCTGGACAATAAGTGTACTGCAGATATACTTTTTGTTCTGGTGTGGGCAATACGTCTTGAACCCCAGGGAAGTACTGTGCATTTCTGTTGTAGTGTATATATACAGCGAAACTCAGGGGACTGCTGGAGTATATTAAAATGCTGATGGGCACGCGCAGAAACAATGGCCCATGTTGACGCAGTCAGCAGCTGGCTCCTGAGCCATGCAGATGGGACAGCTAGATTCACTGTCCCATTTGAGTGCTCCTATTCTAGAGAACTGCTCATCCATTCTCTTTTATCAAGTTCCTACAAGAATGGTTTTTAAGAGATTGAGACTATTGCTAGAAATTTCACGGTAGTGGTGAAGGTGCATATTTTTTAAATGTACTTCAGCTGCATGCACACTTCAAAACTACCAAAAATTCTGATAAGCATAATCTAAGCACTACTGAAAAATGATTTTTAGAGTTGCTTTCAATTTTGACATTTTGAAAATACTTTGAAAAAAGTAAACACAATTAATAAAACTACCCTTCTGATAGTCCTGCATAACTGTAAAATGAAATTATGTTTGCTAACAGAATATTTTGTTCAACAACATCAATATACTTGCTTTAACGTTTACAGTATTGGTCAGCATTCCTGTGCAATGGGTAGTATGAAATTCATTGTAAAGCTTAGTAACCTACTATTGTTTCTGTTGGGAACATCAATTACAGTTGAGCTTGAATTACAATTCCCATTCAGTCCTCCCTTTCTAATTGTCTCTATGCAAACAAGGGGAACTTGAATAAAAAAAAATTATTTGAACAATCAAGTTTGTTAGTACAAGCTGAGGAAAAAAATACAAAACTGTTTTCTTTGAGTTAGGTGTTTGTTTTCAAAAGAACAGCAAATCCTTCCTCTATACATGTCAATAAAAATATCATATGTTGCAAAGTATAAGGAATTCAAGCTAACAGAGCAACGCTCAAAAGGCAATTATTTGAAATCTTTTTTTATTTCTGTGAATACTCAGTCAGAAACAAAATGCAGAATAGATTATTTTTTTAAGGTTTCTCTATTTGTCCATAGAGTTCATTCAGCACTACTTATTTACTTCACATCCGTTAATTTCAGAACAACAACTCACGTGCTTAAAGTTAATGGGATATTATCACATCACTATAGAATGTGCTTCATTTGTTTTAAAAGACAGCAATATGAGATAGGAAAACTTGCTGCAATACTAAATAGATTTCCGAAAATTGTGATTGAAAGTTGCTTGGGCAGGATTTTTTTTTTTTCTTCTGTGAAAATAATAATGAGTACCACCTAAAAATCTGAGAAATTAACTGTCGGAGGAAACAGTGCTAAGGCAGCAGTCTTTAGCTCTGTCCTTTGTGCTTACAAAGCAAGTTATTCTTTTCCAAAAACAAATATTCGATATATAAACAATATCAATTTTTGTAAACCCTCGTTTTTGTGGTGAGAGATTGTGCATGTCAAAAAATAGCTATACGTAGAGTTCAATTTAGCTTTTAACATAAATCTCTATCAAGCCCCTTAAAAGTGTGAAGGCCAAAGAAAATCAGCCACAGCAGCACAATATACCAGTACTTTGAATTTATAATGTATAAACAATAAAAAAGCCTGGAATTTTGCTGATACTTTAAAAAAAAAAAAATCCTCTGGTAATTCTGATTTTTTTTTTTATGAAGGTTAATTGTTGAAGTGCAGATACTTCGGGATATATGGGAAGGAAAAAACCCTCTTCAGTCAAGGCCATGCTTTACTTTTTGTAATTGACCTTTGTTATAAAAAATGTCAGACCAGAGAGTAATAGTTTGTTTTTTTTTTCTTGTTTTGAGCAAATTTATAGCTCATATAAATTATGCTGAACTACAGGTTTCGTATCTTCAGCAATCTCCATTTGTGAAAACTGTATATCATAACCTTTTGTTTGTGCGATCTACTTTGTATTATTTGACTGAAATACAGTAATCTTGAAAGAGTGGTTAAAGCAACAGAAGCACAGCAATAATACAGTGAAATAAAGGATTCTAAATTATATTTTTGGCATGCAATATACAAAGTTGCTCAGTTCTGAAGAAGTGATACTCCTGGGAGTAATGCATATATACAACATAATTAAGTTTTAATCTTTTAGTGATTCAGAACTCGTGAGAATAGGTAACAGCTGGTATTAGCAATGGTGCGCAACCTGCATGCTTATATTTGAAACCTTTATATTGAAGTTTCCAAGAACTGGCAGCCTGACTTTAGCATTATAAAATTTTGTCATTGTGTAGTATTTTAAAGAAGTATTTTGAAGAATTTTTACCAAGAATTACTGAGATGGGAGGCCTATGTTAATATTATCATTTTGGGATATACGGGCAGAAAGCACCGTCTTCAGCCTGCATCAATTCAGAAAGTGCTGTATGTCATTCACTTACAGCTAGTATTTTAAGGGCAATTGTTGTCTGTGCATACATACATTTTTCTCTCATTTGCTGCTGTGGGGGTGGTCTCTTCGAGACTCTCTGCAAGCATCGCTCCATTCCTAGAAGCGTGGCACCTGAGTTAAAACTTAGCTTTCTTAGTCACATTTAAAGGACTATCATTTCTTGAATGATAAGGTAAATTATTATTTAGAAATGCAAATTTTTTTCAAGGCTTAAATCTTCTAGAAATAACATCTGATCTGGACTGGCAGTGCCACCTTCAGTTTGGCAAGACACAATTTTTGCAGTCTGTAGGCTGCAATTTTTGAAATCTATTGGAAACTTCTAAGTAAACGTCTGTTGCTTTGCAGTAGTCAGTGGAGCATTATGGATTATGTTTTGAATTTTTAGCTGTTATACCAAAATTTGCTGTGTGTTGAACCCTTAGTATTTCTTCTAAGATCAGTGACAGATCTGCTTGACGCTGCCATGGCATAGGAAATTAATCTGTTCTGTTTGTGCTCATAGGACTGTTACTTGATGGATGTTACCGTCTTGGATGAAACTCGAAAGCCCTTCTGGTGTTTCAGTGCCCCAGTCTGCATGGAACTGTCTTCCAAGACATCTGGCCTTTATGACTACATGGGTCATATCTATACCACAGAGTATGCAGATTCAGAGGGTAAAGTCAGTGTTGACTTAGTATGGCTGGAAGAAACCAAGGAATATTATGTAGTCAATCTGGTTCTTTACATAAGCACCAAAAAAGTTAACAACTGGTATGGAACAAATTACTGATTTAATTGAGTGGTTAGTTTTCTTGCTTTAAAAAAAGCTAAATTTTTGCTAATTACAATTGATATTAATTAGTAATACTGCTGCTGCAAGTTTTGTGCCCTTTCAGTTTTTCAATAGCAAAAGTACAGTTGCATGTATGTATTTTAATTGGCATTGGAAGGATGGAAGAGAGCTGTTTATATGAATTGATAACTTAGGCTGTTCAACAGGGAAAAAAAACATTATGTTTAATCTGTTTGTGGTACTGGGCGTATTACAAATTATCTTAGAAATAGTTGTTTTTTATAGGTGCTTTTTAATATATGTGAATAAATTGCTGCTTCTGAGCACTGTACTGTGGAGAAGCTTTATCCTTATGTAAGCTGCACTGTTTTTGAAAACATTGAACTTTATGCCTAAAATGGTGCAACAGCATGTGTGCTGTTCCCTTCTGATTCATTAGAGTATTATTGATAAATGACTGCTATTGATAAATGTAGAAATACTATTTTTTTTAAGTACGAATACTGTAATACATTATAGTAGAGCATTTAAAAGGTAGACTAGAAGTCACAGATCTGAATAATATGGTAGTAAGGCATTTGTCAAGAAAATCACTTGTGTAATATCTGTGACTTGCCTAATGTACTGGCCCTTGAATAATTGTCCTGATTATGAGAATGGGTTAAGGTGACATCTGGTCCTCTGAAACCAAGCTGACATTCAGTTGCTTCAGAAACAATGAATTATCTGATAAGGTTTATCTGATGATAGATATTCATGGAAAAAAGGCTTACATGCCTGATTTTTCAGGTTGCTTGAAGTAACTTTGGAACCTTGTCTACTCCCTGATGAAAAAAGTCATGACAGTGTCATTTCTGTGATGTGTTACAAACCAGGGTAAATCTGTGCAGTTTCATAGTACACTGTTAAGAAAAAAGCACAACTATGTTGTTGGTTTCTGTGACTGTATTATGAAAGTGATTTCCTTCAAGATAATTTGTTCTCTTTTATTCATTTAAGTAGATGGATTTGTTCGTGTAAGCAATGTCTATATGTGAACACTTGTGATTGGTACTACAAAGATATGGATTGTTTTTTAATGTAACTTTCAAAGATAGTAAAGTTAAGGGTGATTCAGCTCCAATTTGACTTACTACCTTGCCTAATGAAGAAATAATAACATTTCTATTTTTGATGGTTAGCGAGTGTAACAAGCACGACCAGCTCCGTTCTGACTGCTTTCTTACAGACTGCTGCTCGTGACTGTGATCCCTTGAAGTAATATAAATGTTTTAGTAAGCGTGGTGAGTGTGATGAATTTGTGATGAACAATAGATGCTGAAGTTCACGTTGCATGGAGATGCAGTGTATGAAGCAGCCATTCAAGATTTTCTCTTGCCTGAAGTCTGACTTTAAGGGACTGTCTTTCACAAGGAAGTGGTAGTTCTGTTCCAAGGTCCTCTCAGTCTTTGACTTCACTGTTAAGCCTGTAAACTAAGGTGTGGAGTAGTTCTAGCTGCATTTACATTTTGTAATGTGCAAGTACGTTCTCTGGCCTGCTGTGAAACCACAGATGTTATTGGCCACTCAGCAGCTATGAAATGGTAACAGTGTTATGTTGCTGCTCACTTCGGCTGAATTTTCATCACATTCCTAATGTTTTAAAAAAAGACTTCCTCTTTAAAAAAAAAAAAAAAAAACAAGTCCTAAAGCATTTCACTATATTAACAATTGAACAGCATTATAACAAATTAATTGTGTCACTATTAGAAACGAACCAAGAAAGTATGCTGTCCTTGTCTCCAGCTCTAGAATCTAGCAGAAAAAAAAAATCAAGTCCTAAAGCATTTCACTATATTAACAATTGAACAGCATTATAACAAATTAATTGTGTCACTATTAGAAACGAACCAAGAAAGTATGCTGTCCTTGTCTCCAGCTCTAGAATCTAGCAGCCTGCAAGTTTACCTGAGTTAATGAGAAACAGGACAAATCTGTAACAATATTGTCAACCTAAAATATGATACAAGCTGTAACAGCTTCCACTCAGGAAATGTTGCTAGCTCATCATTTCCACTGTTCACAAACAAGGCTGTCTATATGCAGCAGACCTAAACAAATGGTGGTTCTGACATTTTTCAAACGTGGCCATGACTGTTGCAGAGCTGCTTTTGTATAGGATCATAGTCTTGTCCTCTTTGAACATATGAAGATTAAAAAAAATCTGTTTTCATGTCTCTTTGTAGGCCTAAGATTGATCTAAATTTGCTGTAGCGTTATGCCATGTGTACACTGCTTTAATTCCACCTGACAGTTTTCCTTGATTTGCACTGCAGAAACAAATTCACTAGTTACAGTTTGTGTGATCTGGAACCTGTGAAGTTATTTCCAGCTTCATTTGAACTTCCATCTCTTCAGCCTGTATTTTTCTTGCTTTGTATAAGTGAAAGCATATGCTAAACTTGCACTAAGGAAAGGAGTGAGGAAAGGGTACATTTGCCCTTTTAATGAAAGAAAATATCATCTATGCCAAAAAAATACTTTTTCACAAGTGTCTTTCCTAGCTACTCTTCCCTTGTCAAAGCCCCATTTTATATATTTGCTATAAAAGGGAGTAGAATAGATTGCATATCCCACTCTGTGGTTTCACATTCTTGCTGTATAAAAAATAATTGGTAGGACAAACAAATGAGAGGAATAAAAAAAAAAACAGGGAAAATAATAGGCATCAGTTGAAATCTGTTCAAAATACATAACTGTGACACTATGCCTTTCACAATATTATTGTCTGTCTGACTCTCTCAGGGGTTTCTTGCAGCTGCTTTTAATGATTTTGTGTTTTTGTTAGTATTTCATACTGAAGACAGGACTATGTCCGAGTAACATTGTTTAGCCAAGTAATAGGACAATTTCTGTGAGTGACAGTATAAGTGCTTGTAAGTGGAAGAAATTTTTGAAGTTGTTTTTTTAAATTTATATATGCTTCAGGGACCAACTCATCAACGTGAAAAGAGAGGAACCACCACCAACTTTTAAATGTGTATGTTTAACTGCTCTGCATCAGATAGAACTGTAATATCTTTAAAAGGGTGATTTACCTCATAGGCAAGTATAAAAATAGTACTTATGTTTATTTTATTGCACATATAATAGTGTTCATTTAACCTAATGAGCTTAAATTGCATTGAGAAGGAATCTGTTAGTATGAAAGACTGATTTAATGAAAGGAGTTTTTGTGAAATTATTCAAACAGTGAGGAGTGTTCTTTTTAATGGAACTACATCAAAATGAACATTAATCCTGCCATTTGTCATTGCTTTGCCAGATGTTTACTATGTACACAGATGCCTTTTTGTTCTCTTGTGGGGGGAGGTGGTAGTTTTGTGTTTTTGCTGGAGGGGGGAAGAGGTACTTGTAATGGCAGACCTTTTAAATAAATAGTTCATTAACATTCTTGGGCTCTTAACATGATATTCCATTGATATGAATTGGAACTGTATTGATTTATATCATCTGAAGAATTGTTCTTAATTGTAACACTGGGATTGGTGCCACTCTGGGACTGGAGCGCTTTACTCTTTCCTTTAGTGCGGAACGAATAGTAGCTGTGTATTTCTGAAATCTTTGTAGTGTAGGCTAGTAATTGTGGTGTTTCTTCCTCAAACTGCCCTTACAGTTGTCTTGCTTTTTCTGCCCAGCTTTTGCCATTGCTATCAGAGAACCAGCTCTGCTTTTGTAACGCATTTCTGTTCCACATGTGGTTTTGGTTTGTGTGATAGTATACATAAAGCAGTTCTATGATAGATAGCCTCATCACAGCTCTCTCTTTACTTAGGAGACAAGTTTTCATTTGGATTCATCCATCATTCATCTAAGTATGGTCTCAATTTTGGTGAAACTGCTCCCGGTATTACTTTATGCATGCTTTTTGAGACAAGGACTGTCTTCCGCCCCGCCCAGAGTATTTCATAGCTGTTTGATGCTAGTGACTGAGTACTTAGCAAAAGGAAAAAATACAGTATACTAAGATTAGTATGAGCTGAAATGGATTAATATTATTTCAGCCTAAGGATTTAGGCAAGTGATCAAGTCACTATACCTGAATAAGTTACTGCACAACAGCAAACGTGCAGTAGCTTATCTTGTATTGGCTGGGTGTTCCAACACATTCAAATGGTTAGAAGGAGATTTGGGCGAAAGCATTTGTTTTTCTGCCTGTCTGGCACACTTCTACAACTCAGCTGACAGGTAGTGATTCACTAAGATGTGGTAACTGAATCTGAGCTCAAATATAACTGTATTAGAAACTACTCAAATAAAACAGCATTTCTACAAATCACAATGAGAACAAGTTATGAGCGTCAATCTATATTTGTGTGTAGTGCGTTGAAAGGACATTGATATGGCATGTTAAACACCATCAGCTGGTTTCATGGCTCTTGCCGTTTATCAAAATGGGAAATGGTAGCAAGGATGGATAGCTGTAGTGAGTTGTATGTGGTGAGGAAGGATGTGAATGTGAAAGCATCGCTTGTTCTGTTCTTACTCTCAAAACTTTAAGCCTGCTTAGGAGTCTTTCTCATGCTGTGACTTTTCTGAAATGTCTGTGAAAAGGGAGTAATGTTACTTTGTACTTATCGCTACTTAAATTAAAGAAGCGATTAAAATAAAGTAGAAAACTGTAAAGCTTTTAAACACATTGAAGAAAATCGAAGTGGAAAAGTTGTGCTTTCTGAATTTGATTTTAAGTTGTTTATCTTCTGATAGTATGTTCTCTGTGCCAGACCTGGGAATCTGTGAGGGAAATACACTTACGAGTCAGTTATCATATGTGAGCAGGTAGGATTATTTTTGTTCTGTGTCCAAACCATTTCTAATGCAAAAATATGTCTTCTGCTCTGAATCAGTCATGCACACAGTTACATTCAGCTGCCTTGATGAAATCATATCTAAAAAAATGTAAGACAGGGAAGACTGTGTAATAGCTAGGTAATGTTCTGTTTAGTCACTGAATGATGAAATAGGAGAAATCAGTTTAATCCTCAGGGATAGGAAAGTATTTAATAATTAAACAAAAAAACCCCCAACACCAACCCCTTGAGCTAAGGCCAAATGCTTAGCTTTCCAGAGTTCAGTACTATCAATATTTCTTCCTTACCAAAGATTAAAATAAATGTTTAAAAACACACTGAAAAACACTTTCAGTGTTTAGAGAAATCCCTGAAAAGGTGATGGAGCAGCGCATCCTGGATGCCATCTCTAAGCATGCAGAGGATAAGAAGGTGATCAGCAGTAGTCAGCATGGATTCGCAAAGGGGAAATCACGCTCAACCAGCCTAATAGCCTTCTACGATGGGGATGACTGGCTAGGTAGATGAGGGGAGAGCAGTGGAGGTTCTCTTCCTTGACTTCAGCAAGGCTTTTGACGCTGTCTTCCATCACACCCTCATAGGCAAGATCAGGAAGTGCATCAGTGACCTGGAGGAAGGGACAGAGCGCACCCTCAGCAAGTTTGCTGATGATACCAAACTAGGAGGAGTGGCTGACACACCAGAGGGCTGTGCTGCCCTTCAGAGGGACCTGGCCAGGCTGGAGAGGTGGGCGGAGAGGAACCTCCTGAAGTTCCACAAAGGCAAGTGCAAGGTCCTGCACCTAGCGGGGGAGTAACCCCAGGCACCAGGAGAGGCTGGGGGCTGACCTGCTGAAAAGCAGCTCTGCCGAGAAGGACCTGGGAGTGCTGGTGGACAACAAGTTAAGCATGAGCCAGCAATGTGCCCTGGTGGCCAAGGCAGCGAATGGTATCCTGGGGCGCACTGGGAAGAGTGTTGCCAGCAGGTGGAGGCAGGTGATCCTGCCCCTCTCCTCAGCCCTGGGGAGGCCACATCTGCAGTGCTATGTCCAGTGCTGGGCTCCCCAGGACAAGAGAGACATGGAGCTCCTGGACCAAGTCCAGCGGAGGGCCACAAAGATGATGAAGGGATTGGAGCATGTCTCACCCGAGGAAAGGCTGAGGCAGCTGGGCCTGTTCAGCCTGGAGAAGAGAAGACTGAGGGGGGATGTGATCAATGTGTACAAGTATCTGAAGGGAGGGTGTCAAGGCTGGGGTCAGCCTCTTCTCCGTGGTGCCCAGAGACAGGACAAGAGGCAACGGGCACAAACTGAAACACGGGCAGTTCCATCTGAACACGAGGAAAAACTTCTTTCCTGTGAGAGTGACAGAGCCCTGGAACAGGTTGCCCAGAGACGTTGCGGAGTCTCCTTCCCTGGAGATATTCAAAATCCACCTGGACACAATCCTAGGCAACGTGCTCTAGGTGACCCTTTTTGAGTAGGGGTGTTGGACTAGATGATCTCCAGAGGTCCCCTCCAACCTCAACTGTTCTGTGATTCCATGAAAAATCTGGAAATGAGTGAGTATTCTGTTCCGTGATTATCAATGGTCCTGTGTTCATTGTTATCTCATTTGTTTTATAAGCCCTTGATTCATAGCTTTCCCTTATTTTTCTTCTGTTATAAGAGTGCAGATGGTGTGTGTGCATGCATACTGAGTGAAAACGTGTAACAAAAACCTTAAAAGAGAGGTAAGGTACTCTGAAATTAGGTAATTATATTCAAAGTTTGCTATTGGTGAAATGTGGTGAGTAAAATCATGTCTTTATGAGAAAAACTATATTGTAGTAATTATACCCTATGTCCAGCA